AAACTCACTACCTACCTAAACTAACACACAGGCAGGTAGAACAACTAAATAAACCTATAACAAAAGAAGAGATTGAAAAGGTAATTAAAAAACTCCCAACAAAGAAAAGCCCTGGCCCAGACGGTTACACTGGAAAATTCTACCAAACTTTCAGAGAAGAGTTAATACCACTACTACTAAAAATATTTCAGAGCATCGAAAAGAATGGGATACTCCCAAACTCATTCTACGAGGTCAGCATAACCTTGATACCAAAACCAGCTAAAGACACCATAAAAAAAGAAAATTACAGACCAGTATCCCTCATGAACAGTGATGCAAAAATCCTCAACAAAATTCTAGCCAATAGAATACAATATTAAAAAAAAAAAATCCACCATGATCAAGTCGGATTTATACCAGGTATGCAGGGATGGTCCAACATTAGAAAAACAATCAATGTAATCCATCACGTAAATAAAACAAAAGACAAGAACCACATGATCTTATCAATTGATGCAGAAAAGGCATTTGACAAAGTCCAACACCCATTCATGATAAAAACTCTCAGCAAACTAGGAATAGAAGGGAAATTCCTCAACATAATGAAGGGCATTTATACAAAGCCAACAGCCAACAACATCCTAAGTGGAGAAAGTCTGAAAGCTTTCCCCTTGAGAATGAGAACCACACAAGGATGCCCTTTATGACCACTCTTATTCAACACTGTGCTGGAGGTCCTAGCCAGAGCAATTAGGCTAGAAAAGAAAAAAAGGGCACCCAAATTGGTAAGGAAGAAGTAAAAGTATCTCCATTTGCAGATGATATGACCTTGTACACAGAAAACCCCAAAGAATCCACAAGACACCTACTGGAACTAATAGAAGATTTCAGCAAAGTATCAGGATACAAGATAAACATGCAAAAATCAGTTGGATTCCTCTACACTAACAAAGAGAACTTCCAAGAGGAAATCACCAAATCAATACAATTTACAGTGGCCCCCAAGAAGATATAATACTTAGGAATAAATCTAATCAGAGATGTAAAAGACCTATACAGTGAAAACTACAAGGCACTACTGCAAGAAACCAAAAGACACCTACATAAGTGGAAAAACATACCTTGCTCATGGAAAGGAAGACTCAATATTGTGAAAATGTCAATTGTACCCAAAGCGATCTACAGATGCAATGCAATCCTGATCCAAATTACAATGGCACTTTTTAATGAGATGGAGGAAAACATCACCAACTTCATATGGAAAGGGAAGAGGCCCCAAATAAGTAAAGCATTACTCAAGAAGAACAAAGTGGGAGGCCTCACACTACCTGATTTTAGAACCTATTATACTGCCATGGTAGTCAAAACAGCCTGGTACTTATACAACAACAGATACATAGACCAATGGAACAGAATTGAGAATTCAGACATAAATTCATCCACCTATTAGCAGCTGATATTTGACAAAGGTCCAAAGTCCGTTAACTAGGGAAAAGACAGTCTCTTTAACAAATGGTGCTGGCATAACTGCATATCCACCTGCAAAAAACTGAAACAAGACCCATACCTCACACCATGCACAAAAACTAACTTAAAATGGATGAAAGACCTAAATATAAAATTGAAAACAATAAAGATCATGAAAGAAAAAACACGGACAACACTAGGAGCCTTAATACATGACATAAACAGAATACAAACCATAAGTAACAACGCACAAACACCAGAAGAGAAACTAGATAACTGGGAGCGCCTAAAAATCAAACACTTACACTCATCAGAAGACTTCACCAAACCTGCAGACTGGGAAAAAATTTTTGGCTACAACAAAATCTGATCAGCGTCTCATCTCTAAAATCTACAAGATACTGCAAAATCTCAACAACAAAAAGACAAACAACCCAATTAAAAAATGAGCAAAGGATATGAACGGGCACTTCACCAAAGAAGACATTCAGGAGGCTAACAGACACATGAGGAAATGCTCATGATCATCAGCCATTAGAGAAATGAAAATCAAAACTAAAATGAGGTACCATCTCAACCCAGCAAGGCTAGCATTAATCCAAAAGACACAAAATAATAAATGTTGGAGAGGTTGTGGAGAGACTGGAACACTTATACACTGTTGGTGGGAATGTGAAACGGTACAACCACTTTGGAAATAGATTTGGCACTTCTTTAAAAAGCTAGAAATAGAAGTACCATACAATCCAGCAATTCCACTCCTTGGAATATATCCTAGAGAAATAAGAGCCATCACACGAACAGATATATGCATACCCATGTTCATTGCAGCACTGTTCACGATAGCAAAAAGATGGAAACAACCTAGGTGCCATCAACGGACGAATGGATAAACAAATTATGGTATATTCACACTATGGTATACTATGCAATGATAAAGAACAACGATGAATCCATGAGACATCTTATAACCTGGAGGAATCTGGAAGGTATTATGCTGAGCGAACTTTAGTCAGTCACATAAGGACAAATATTGTATAAGACCACTATTATAAGAACTCAAGAAAAGGTGTAAACACAGATGACAACATTCTTTGATGGTTACGAGGGTGGGGAGGGAGGGAGAGAGGTATTCACTAACTAGAAAGTAGACAAGAATTATCTTAGATGAAGGGAAGGACAGAACACACTACAGGGGAAGTCAGCACAACTGGACTAAACCAAAAGCTAAGAAGTTTCCTGAATACAACGAAACACTTCGAAGGACAGAGTAGCAGGGGCAGGGGCCTGGGGACCAAGGTTTCAGGGGACATCTAGATCAATTGGCATAATGAAGTTCTTTAAGAAAATGTTCTGCATCCCACTTTGGTGAGTGGTGCCTGGGGTCTTAAAACTTACTAAGTAGCCATCTAACATGCATCAATTGGTCCCAACCCACATGGAGTAAAGGAGAGTGAAGAACACCATGGACACAAGGAAAGTATTAGTCCAAGAGACAGAAAGGGCCACATAAACCAGAGACTTCATCAGTCTGAGACCAGAAGAACTAGACAGTGCCCAGCCACCACAATGACTGCCCTGACAGGAAACACAACAGAGAGTCCCTGACGGAGCAGGAGGAAAGTAGGGTGCAGAACTCAAATTCTAGTAAAAAGACCAGACTTAATGGTCTGATTGAGACTGGAGGGACCCTGGAAGACATGGCCCCCAGACTCTCTGTTAGCCCAAAACTAAAACCATTCCCAAGGCCTATTCTTCAGACAAAGATTAGACTGGACTATGGGACATAAAATGATACTCATGAAGAGTGTGCTTCTTAGCTCAAGTAAATACACGAGACTACATGGGGAGCACCTGTTCAGAGGTGAGATGAGAAGGCAGAGAAGGTCAGGAGCCGGTTGAATGGACACGGGAAATCCAGGGTGGAAAGGAGGAGTGTGCTGTCACAGTAGAAGGAGAGCACCTAGGGTCACAAAACAATGTATGTATAAATTTTTGTATGAGAGACTAACTTGAGTTGTAAACTTTCACTTAAAGCACAACAATAAAAAATAGTTTAAAAAAAAAACCAAATGGAGAGGCTTTCATAACTTGCCCCTTCTTTAGCTCCTGACACCCACCCTTCCTTACTTCCAAACTTACTGAACTATTTATAAGCTATCAATATACACCTACCTACCTAACTCTGCTTTTCTTCCTCGGATGCTGTGGTGGTTAATGCTGCGTGTCAACTTGGTTAGGTTATGACTCTCAGTGGTTTAGCATATACTATGTAATCATCTTGCATTTTTTGATCTGATGTGAGCAGTCAATCAGTTGAAAGAGGAGTTTCCTTGGCCTGCCTCCAGTATATAAATGGATGCACTGGCAAAGCTCTCTCTCCCTCTCTCTCCCTCTCTCTCCCTCTCTCTCCCTCTCTCTCTCTCTCTCTCTCTCTCTCTCTCTCTCTCTCTCGAACCTGCACTCTTCTCAGGGCCTGACCCTTGGGTCATGGGACGTACGCCCGCAGAAGTCTCCGGCCTGCCGCTTGACCTGCAGATTTTGGATTCACCAGACCTCGCAATCCCATGAGCCAGCAGAAGTCTCCAGCCTGCCATCCGATCCATGGATTTGGGACTTACCAGCCCCCACAATTGTGTGAGACATTTCCTCACAATTTTGGGAATCATTTCCTTGAAGTAAATCTCTCTATATATGTTTACATATACTTTTCACTGGTTTTACTCTTCTAGAGAACCCAGACTAAGATAGACGCACTTTTCTCCCCAATCCACCTAGATAGTTACTATTCCTCCTTCAAGCCTCAGTCACTATGTAGCTGCTGTGGAAGCCTTCTCTGGGAAGACCCCCCGTACTCTCCTCTCCAGGCTTGTGTCCCAATCTCTCTGCATTCATAGTTTATATACACTCTAATATGCCACTTCTGACATCAATTACCACTACCCATCTGTCAGTTTGTTGTACTGTGGTGGCTTGTGTGTTGCTCTGATGCTGGAAGCCATGTGATCTGTGATGTGAGCTGAATTACAGTGACACACAAGACATATCTAGTCTAAAAAAGCATAGCCTTGGAAAAAACAGATAATAAGCAGGTAAACAAACAAATAGGGAGTTACAAATTGAGATGTGTGCTGTAAAGGAGCCAAATCAGGTTCTAGTACAGCATGAAGGGGAGTTGGGAGCTAGTTTAAATGAGGTAGTCAGAATCATTGAAGGCCTTTCTGAGGATGGGATCTTGAAGATGAAGACCAGAAGGTTGAGAAGCCAGCTAGTGAAAGCAGAAGGAAAGACATCCCAACCAACAGAGACACCCTCTGCAAAAGCCTAAGGCAGGAAATGTATGATTATTGCCCTCTTCCAGAAGATGAAATTGAGGCTAAGTGAAGTTATGGGATTTGCCCATTGTCACATTCAAAATCCCATCAAAGTTGAGATCACATCCAAATCCTGACTGGTACGGAATTTATTATACCACACCATGTTGTGGATCCAAAATGAATGGGGAAATTAGAAAAGTGGTCAGTCACATGCTCGTGAGATTAGCTCAGCAGCTGCCCAGTCTCAAAGGGCTGTAAATCTACACTGGTCATGTCATCTATGCATGAGGATAGATAAGGGATATGAAAAGTCCAGCTCTTTTTAAAAAGTTGTTCCAAAAAAAATTGAGATTACTCCTAATTTCTATTTCAATGTATGTTCCCATAATGTATTAGCCAGCTTTCACTAGGTTGTACTGAAATAACAAATTACTCCAAAATTACAGTGTTTACAAATATATATATGTATCTATTTTGGTTACCTTATATGTTGTTGATTAGCTTGCAGTTGTGTTCCATGTCCTCTTCATTATATGGCCCAGAATGAAGGAATTAGCCCCCATAGGACATTCTGGTCTCTTGCCTAATGGAAAAGATCAAGGGCAGAACTATGTAATGGCTCTTTAATCTTCTACAAGGAAGTTTCCTGTCGCTTTTACCCAGACAAGTGGAGGTTGTTGTTGTCGTGCACCGTCAAGTCGATTCCGACTCACAGTGACCCTATAGGACAGAGAAGAACTTCCCCATAGGGTTTCCTAGGCCGTAATCTTTACCGAAGCAGATTAACAGGTCTTTTCTCCCATGGAGCTGCTGGTCGGTTAGAACGCCAACCTTTCGGTTAGAAGTCGAGTACTTAACCATTGTGCCTCCAGGGCTCCAAGGAGAAATAGTTTGACCAAAACAAGTCACATGGCCAAGACCAACAACAGTGAAGTAGAAATTGGTGGGAATATATAATCTTTTCCCAGGGAGGTGCGACAAATACATGGAACAATAATACAACCTACCACATGTACCAAACAGACACATTCAAAATCATTCTCATTTGAATTTAAGATATTCTTAATAGTCATTGAAATATCTAGATAGACAAAGTGTTTATAATTAATATCAGGGTTTCAGTGGAGTTTCTTTAAATTCATCCATATATTTATTCAACAAATAATTACTGAGTGCTGCCATGGCTGAACTCTATACGTCTACTTTTTCTTTGCTCTCAAATTTATACTCCTCTACTTGTAACCTTAAAAAGAAAACCAATTGATGTGTTGTGAGATTGTTAACCATTGCCATAGGGCAACATTTGTAGTAACTGTTAAATGGAGACTAGTTTGTCCTGTAAGCCTTCATCTTAAGTGAGAATAACAGCACAATTAGAAGAGCGTAGTCAATGTCACTTAAATGTGTATGTAAAAAAATTTTTGAAATGGCGTATCTTTGGCTATGTGTATTTTCACCAAAAAAAAAAAAGTTGGGAATTTAGAGGGTTAAAATGTTGTGGGGTTGTTAACCAATGTCATAAAACAGCATGTGTGTTACTGTTACATGAGAAACTATCTGTTCTGTAAGCCTTCACCTGAAGTACAATAAAATATTTAAAAAAAAAAAGAAAAAGAAAACCAAGTCAACAATGTATGAAAGGAGACACTGCCAGGTGACCAAGCCAAAGAAAGTTTGCTTGCAGTACATATGTAAAGGAAACAAAAGGAATTATATACCTTGTCTTAGTGATAAGATGTAAGAACATATGCTTACATTTGAACCATTTTTAAGTCCAACATGCAGACCTTTCTCTTCTTCTCTCTTCCTGCTGTCTTCAAAAATCCCTGCCCAGTACCCTCACTGGTAGCAGAGCCCTACTGCAGCCATAAAAAAAAAAAAAAAAAAGTGTTCATTAGCCATCTCACGTGTGCTAAGGGCTAAATATTTTAAAATATGCTATAAAACTGAAAATAGTGAAAGCAGCAAATGCCCAAACATGTACTAGTCAGAGAAGTTTAAAGGTTGTTAACAAACCTCCAAAAATATATTTTACACTAAGATGTAGAGAACTCAAGCAATCTCATTTGCAGGCTGGTGTCTCAGAGATCCACAAAATAAGAGTGTTGTATGTGAATATTGTACTAGGGGAAACATTGATGAAAAAAAATGCATCTTCTTGTTTTGTCTTATTTTTTACTTTCCAATAACACACTGCAATTGAAGGTTATGGTCCTGAGACTCTTTGCTAGCCAGAACAAGAGATTCAGAGAGTTTGACTCAATGCTCTGAATTTAAAATCCCTTAAGTTCTTCATCATATGAAATGGTATAAGCAGGACTGATATTTAGGTGGCCACACTTATACAACCACACCAATAGTTAAAATTGTGAAATACTTTCATATCTGTCAACAGCCCTGTTCTGAGGCTCTTCCCTGTTAATAAATATCTTGAAATTCACCTCTGGACTGAAGCCTTGATGTTCACAATCAGTTGAAGCAGGGGTGTAGCGAGATGCTCTGGGTCCAAAGAGCCAAATTTAAGTCCCACATGTGCCACTAATTTGGGGAAACTATAATTGACAAACCCCTTAAATGCTCTGTATTTCATTTTCTCCAGTTACGAAATGATAATGGCAATAACAGCTACTCTGTCTACCTGGACTTATGTGACAAACAAGGCTGTGTATGGAAGAGCCCTCTGTACCACAGCAATAGATAATATAACCTCATTGTTGTCAAGTCTATTCCAGCTCATAGCAACCCTGTAGGACAGAGTAGAACTGCCCCATAGAGTTTCCAAGGCTGTAATCTTTGAGGAAGCAGATTGGCACATCTTTCTCCTGCCGACTGGCTGGTGTGTTCGAACCACCAATCTTTTGGTTAGCAGCCAAGCGCTTAACCACTGTGCCAACAGGGCTCCTTAGATAACACACAGGAGGTGTATTATGCATCAGAAATTCTACCAAATGTTTTATATCCTTAACTGCTTTTTCCCACACTATGCTATCAGGGAGAAACTATTAATATTCCTGTTTTACAGGTGAAGAAACCGAGACTGTGTAAGAGTGCCCAGGTCACATACAGGTGGTTAGGCAGAGCTAAGACTCAACCCAAGAACACCTGGACTAGGTGTCCAGCTAGTCAGTGAACGATTAGAAGAGGTATTAAGAATAGCAAGATATTCCTACAATTTTACTGTCAAGAACCAAAATAAGCATTTGGACAAAGGTAATCATGGACACGACCTTGACTGTCTTATAATCATATCTCTTTAAAAATCTGACCCTAGCAAAAAAAAGTGTCAAAACGAAAAATCCAGTTTCTTGCTCCATAGACTATATGCCTTATGTCAGCCTCCTAAAACACATGTGATAGCTCTTTTAACAAAACCAGGGTGAACAAATGTTTTTGATCAAATTTTCCAATTCCTGTACTGCTCTGAGGACAAAACAAGACTAGGTAAGATTCTTTCTGGTTAAAGTGTGCTGGAAGGAGAAGGTCTCATCTGGCAACATCTGTGCGCTTAATGGGAAGGAAAGCACTCTTAAGCATTGAGTCCATATATTTATTCTACCAGTTGGTTTGGCTCCTCATCTGAAGATATGGAGGGTATGGAAAGTCTCTGACCTAGAAACAGAGTGGAATGCAATGAACCTATGTTGACCATAGACTGCAAACAACCACGTTGAAGTGAACAAGGACAAATGGCAAAGAGAATTGTAGGCAAAGCCTATGCTAACCAATGGCCTATCTTTGAGAAGGAAGTTTCGCCATTATGGCCACTTGGAGATTATAACAAGAATCTATTGTTACTTTTTATACTTCTCCCCAGGCTCTATGATGTACATTACCCTAACCCATTCTGACTCATAGCAACACTACAGGACAGAGTGTAACCGCCCCATAGGGTTTCCAAGGCTGTAATCTTTATGGGAGCAGACTACCACAACCTTCTGTGGAGTGGTTGGTGAGTTCGAACCATCAACCTTTCGTTTAGCAGCCAAGTGCTTAACCACTGCACCACCAGCGACCCTTATTCTTTCCCCTACTTCCATCTTACCTATTCTCAGTAAAGATTTGATAAACGCATTCCCTAGGGGTAAAACAACTTATATAAGTTTCACGGTGCTCTCCTTCTCAGAGAGATTGTCATTTTAATGGAGAGGGTGACTGCTGCAATAAAACTAGTCATCAGCTAAAGAAGTAGTGATGTGATTAGTTGGATCACGAATCTCTGATTAATGGATCTGAAATCACATCTTATTTATGTTGTCTACCCCGTCCAACCTATTTTACTCTTTGCTACCTCATGGAGAGTTTCTGATAAGCATCAAGCTTACAAAATAAAAGTATAAAGGAAGCCCCAAACAAACGAACCATTTCAAAATGTCTGGGTTGTTCTCAGTGCTTGAAATTACCTTACTCTTTTCCCTCCTGCCTCCTCCAAAGACATATCTCAAATATCAACACACACATGAAGCCTTCCCTGACCCCCTCTGGAGCCTACTCTTCGGTGCTCCTGTGGTGCTGTGAAGATTTGTCACCCTATAATTATTTGTCTAAAAATCTGCCCATTCATTTGTGAGGTCCTAAAGGATAGGATTCATGGCTTTTTCATCTCTGCCAGGCGGTTGCTAGCTTAGTGTCAGGCACACTTAACAAAAGTTTGGAGAATGATTAGGGGATGTACACTGGAAGTAAGCCCAACAGTTTTTTGCCCTACATAGTTTCAAAAATAAATAGTAGACAAGTGTTAATTTTGGTGAAGGGTAAGACAACACACTGTATAGGGGAAGTCAGCACAACTTGACCAAGGCAAAATAGAAGCTTTTTTAATTTATTTATCATAGAAGCTTTCTAGACATATTCAAACACTTGTGGGACCAGGTTACTGGGGATGAAGTCTGGGGGCCATAGTCTTGGGGGGCATCTAGGTTAATTGGCATAACATAGCTTGTAAAGAAAATGTTCTACATCCTAGTTTGGTGAGTAGCATCTGGGGTCTTAAAAGCTTGCAAGCAGCCATCTAGGACACATCTATTGGTCTCATCCCATCCAGACCAAAGGAGAATGAAGAAAGCCAAAGACACAAGGGAAATATCAGTCCAAAGGACCACATGAACCACAGCCTCCACCAGCCTGAGCCCAGAAGAACTAGATGGGGCCCAGCTACCACCACCAATCGCTCTGACAGGGATCATAATAGAGGGTTTCCAACAGAGTGGGAGAAAAATGTAGAACAAAATTCAAATTCACAAAAAAAGACCAGACTTACTGCTCTGACAGAGACTGGAGGAACTCCTGAGACTGTGGCCCCCAGACACCCTGCTAGGTCAGAACTGAAGTCACTCCCAAAGTACACTCTTCAGCCAAAGATCAGACAGGCCTGTAAAACAAACAATAACACACATGAGGAACATGTTTCTTAGTCCAATCAAGTTTATGAGACCCAGTGGGCAACACCTGGCCAAAAGCAAAGACAAGAAGGCAGGAAGGGATAGGAAAACTGGACAAATGGACACAGGGAACCCAGGGTGGAAAGACGGAGAGTGCTGACACATTTCGAGGATCGCAACAAATGTATAAAACAATTTGTGTATAAATTTTTGAATGAGAAACTAATTTGCATGGTAAACTTTCACCTAAAGCACATAAATTTTTTTTTAAAAAAAGATTTGAATTAGCTGCCAATATTTAACAATTGGGATATTTCACATATAAATCTGTATTCCCAGTGTTTCTTAAAAAAATTCTGACAACACTGGGTTCAATAAGCTCCAGTAAACTGAGTAAGTCTAACATAAGCTGAAGCACATTACCACCTGCACTTCCCTTTTGCAGAAAACAATTTAGAATTTTTTTTTTAAATTTTGGAGTAGAGAAGTTTATTGTAAGTATGACACAAAAACAGAACCCATACAAGAAAAGATTAATAAAGTTGACTAAAAAAACAAAAACTCCTATACAGAAAAATTAACAACAACCAAAAAAATTCAGAAAACAAACATCAAAACGCTGAGAGATAAAGAATGTGTATGCATTTTGCAAGAATCCCTGGCGGTGCAGTGGATAAGTGCTCAGCTACTAACCAAAAGGTCCGCAGTTTGAACCCACCAGATGCTCCGTGGGAGAAAGATGTGGCAGTCTGCTTCCGTAAAGATCACAGCCTTGGAAATCCTGTGGGGCAGTTCTACTCTGTCCTATAGGGTCACTATGAGTCAAAATCGACTGGATGGCAGTGGGTTTCTTGGGTTTTATGCATTGCAAGAGTTTAATTCCCCCCCAAACGCATAGTGTTTCCACAAAGCAACAAGAAAAATATTGATCACCCCCTCCCCAAAAATGCCCTGCCTCCTTTATATGGGTCATGTGCTCTCTTTCTTAAACCCAGCCTGTTTCATTTATTAATATTAATATCCTGACCTTTGCAGGCATTTGAGGTTTCCTCCTTTGTTCTAAGTCTATTGCAGGGGTTTTGTACTGTGTCAATTTAGCTAAGCTAAACATACAGAATTCCCTTTTCTGTATGTTTCCAAGTTAGGATTTGCCACTAGAGAATTTGCATGAGATTTGGAAGGCTGAAGAATGCAGTATCTCTGCTTACGCTCTCTTCCTTGCTGGCTCTGATGAAGCACGTTGCCATAGTGGAGAAGTCCACATAACAAGCAGCTGAGCATGGTCTCCAGTTAACAGCCTCAGCTGAGACCCTCAGTCCACCAACCCAAAAGAAACTGAATCCTGCCAACATCCAGGTAGGTAAGCTTCAAAATGGATCCTGCCTCAGTTAAGCCTTCAGAAGAGACCCCAGTTCTGACTAAAACCTTAACTGCAAATTCTCGAGAGATTATAAAGCAGAGAACCAACTGAGCCAGGCCCAGATTCCTGACCCATAGAAACTGTGAAATAATAAATATGTGTTGTTTTAAGCACCGAGTTTGTGGTAATTTGTTACATAATAATAGATAACTAATACAGGGCTTAATGAAAATCATCACTTGAAAGTTCAACTCCAATAGGACTTAATTATAATACAATCCATTAATAGAGCACTTATAGTTTACAATACATAGGGTCGCTATGAGTCAGAATCACCTCAACAGCAAAGGGTTCTAGTTTACAAATTGCCTCCACATACAATTGCTGTTGCTGTTAATTTTTATAACAATGATGAGAACAGGCCACCTGACAGAAAGAACACCTTATCCAGCACCCAGTAGTTTAGCCTGGCCAACTTCATTCCAGTTCTGCCCTTCTCCTAGGACACATAGAAACTTCAAACCCTGCTGGAGCTCAGGAGCTCCCCAGAACTCCCATCAGAGCCCCCACGCAGCCTCACATCCCACAGCATCCAAATGCCACCCACACCTGTTGCACTGGGCCCTTTAGGGTTTTTGTTTTTCTTTTCTTTCTTTCTTTTTAAATGAATTCCATTTTTTTTTCTTTGCACAGTATAAGGCCTTCTGTTTTCAATAGATTTCTTTTTGTCAATCATCCATGTCAAAATATTCTCTTCAGCTTTCACTTTATTTCCTTTCATCTTCTCATTCATAAATCTCAAAGGCTTTTTTACATTAGTATTTTTAAAATACAATCCAGTCCACTTTCTTTGTTAACGTATTCAAAGTGCAGCCATGGCAGGCCCCACCCTTTCTTGTAATGAAGGCTTTTCTTCTAATGCAAATATATGCATGTACTTGGAGAGATTTCTAAGACTCTATACCACTGTACTTTATGTAATACTTTTCAGGAAAGTTGGGATACTACATTTAAAAAAATAGCAAAATCAGGAATAATGTGCTCAAATCAGATTACATACTAATTATTATTATCCCTTTGTGTCTCCTAGTAGATTCATCTAGTCAACAAACATTTATTGAAAATTGACTATATATCAGGCATCGTGGTAGGCACTGGAGCCCTGGTGGTTCAGTAGTTAAGAGCTTGGCTGCTAACCAAAAGGTCAGCAGTTCAAATCCACCAGCTGCTCCTTGGAAACTCTATGGGGCAGTTCTACTCTGTCCTATAGAGTCGCTATGAGTAAAAATTGACTCAATGACAACGGTTTGGGTTTTTTTTTTTTTTTTTTTGATGCTAGGCACTAGTCATTGCATGTGAAATAAAACGCATGTAATTCTTCCCCTAACAGTGCTTAAAATCCAATGTTGGAGACTGATGATAAAACAAATAAGCAAACAAATAAACGATAACATATTAGCCTCTTATACCAAAAATAAAAACCATTGCCATCTAGTTGATTCTGACTCATTGCGACCCTATAGGACAGAGTAGAACTGCCCCATAGGATTTCCAAGGAGCAGCAAGTTGATTCGAACTGCTGACCTTTTGGTTAGCAGTCGAGCTCTTAACCACTGCACCGTAGCCTCTTTGAGGATGCGCTATATAGATTACATTGCAATAACAAACAACCCCAAAATCTTAGTGGTTACAGGGACAAAGATTTATTTGTCACTTGTACTATGAGTCCTTAGCAGGTTGGCAGGAGAGCTGCTCTTCATCACTCTCTTTGGGACTCAGGCCAACAGAGCAGCCACCACCATGTATGTTGCTTATCTCTGTAATTAGCAGAAGGAAGGAGAAAATGGTGAATCACACTCTAGTTCTAAAATCTTCCTCCTGAATGTGACTCATATCTCATTTGCTCATATTTCATTGGTCAAGGCAAGTCATGTGGCCATGCTAAACTACAAGGAGTGGGGGACGGGGTAGTCAGAAAAATGCAGTCCTATCACATGCAGAAGGAGAAATGTAAAGTTTGTAAAGAGCTCTAATGATACTAGAAGGAACTGTGTCTTAAACTATCTGTCTGTTAGAATGCTTTGGCTGTAAGTAACAGAAACCCGACTCAATCTAGCTGAAATAATGATGAAATTCATTTTCCCACTATGAGGAGTCTAGTAGTAAGGTAGGCTCCAATGTGGATTGATTTAATAGCTCCACAGTATCATCAAGGACCCAGTTCCTTTCCATCTCTCTGCTCTACCATCTTCAATACGTTAACTGTGTCCTGAAAATGTGTAAATGAAGTACAAAAAAATCATGATTTCTTCCTATATCTCTTTAGGAATGAGAAAAATCTTCTGTGAGGCCCCTGACCTTCTGTCAAGTCTCATTGGCCATGACTGGGTCACTTGTCAGTTTGCAATCCAATCCTTGCCAAGGAGAATGGGACTGCTCTATTGGTTTAGACCAATCATTTGGGGGAGGATTTGGGTGTTGAGGAATAAATCATCATGACCCCTCTGGATGTACTATGCCTGTCATACTCTTTGGAATATACCAGGTTGTCATAAAGATTTCTTTTAATGATACATAAATAAGTGGATGACAATTAAAGACATCTAATTTTGAATTACCTTACATAATCCACTCTATAACTTTCGTTTTTGATGTTATGCCCTGAGTTTATAACTAAGGGGTGCTATAACAAGCAGCCACAGGAAGCTGGCAATTATTTCCTTGGTGGATATTTTTAACATTTTCCTTTACTATGACTCTTCAGAGAAATTTCTCTTAGTTCTTAATGCTGTGTAAATCTATATATTTTCTGAGAAATTTATATATATATATGTATATATGTTTAACTTGTAGACATTGTGAATCTTATAACTGACCCCACGTTTCTTTTTTATTTTGATGTCTATTTTTACCCTATTATTATTTTTTAATATTAGAATAACCAAATTATTTTTATATAAGTATGGATATGGAGAAAGATGTGGCAATCTGCTTCCATAAAGATTACAGCCTAGGAAATCATATGAGAGCAGATCTACTCTGTCCTCTAGGGTTGCTATGAGTTGAAATCAACTCGATGGCACACAACACGAAGGAAGGAGGGAGGGAGGTTGGAAGGAAGGAAGGAAAGAAAGAAGGGGAGAGAGGGAGGTGGGGGAAGGAGGGGAGGGAGGGAGGGAGGAAAAAAAAGAAAAGCAGAAAAGAGTAAGAGAGAAAAGGAATGAGGAAGAAAAGAATAATAATGATCAGAAATTAGAAATTCTGGAATTATTAAAATGTTGTTAGTTACCACTGAGTTGGCTCTGATTCATGGTGACCTTATACATAATTAAATGAAATGTTGCCACCACAGTACAACTCACCAACAGATGGATGATGGATTATAAGAATAATAGCATTTTAAAGAACATCAGCATTAATTTTTTCAGGTTGAACATTATTCTAAATAGGTCTACGTTTTTTCCATTCACCTGCAAGAGATGGGTTGGGTTAAGATGTGAAAATTTAAGAAAGAGTCAGTAAAAATTCAATAAACTATTGTTCAGATTAA